ATCTGATACTCTCAAAGCCTCACGCATCATATCATAGTTCTCGGTTCTCGACTTCATTCTTGTTCGACTGGACTCTGAAGGCTGGTGTGCTACAGCTTCTGAGTGTTAAAGTCGTTGTATCTTTGGGGACATTACGCACTGACTCGTCAGCACTACACGGGGCGTATTTATCTTGCGGATAGATTTCAATCGCCTCGGCTCAAATATCTTCGCGTTCGAGTTGTAATTTAATTTTTCGTTTTAGTTCTTTTGTACGAACTGAACACTTCAGTCAGTTCATAGGTTCCCGTTGTAATTTAAACACACATTGTGTAACAATCGCAAGACAAATATTCAACACCTACTGAACTGATGGCATCCACTGGAGAAGGATCAAAAACTCAACCACCTATCACCCCCGCTGTTCATCATCATCAACCTGCTGTTCATGTTCCCACTGCTGAGAAGCCCGAAAAATTCAACGGGCTTGATTTCAAGAGGTGGCAACAGAAGATGCACTTCTACCAGACCACTTTGGGTTTGGTGAAGTACCTGAAAGACGACCCTCCTGTCGTGGCTGAAAATGAATCGAATGTTGAGCTGCGAGCTGCATACGATGCTTGGGGGCAAGGTGATTACCTTTGCCGGAACTATGTCCTCAACGGACTGAGTAACGAGTTGTACAATGTGTATAGCTCGGTTGGCTCTGCCAAGGAGCTTTGGGCTGCCTTGGAGAAGAAATACAAAACTGAGGATGCTGGGGCGAAGAAATTCGTCGTCGGCAAATTTCTGGAGTTCAATATGGTCGACACTAAGACCGTCGTGTCTCAAGTGCAAGAGTTCCAACTCATCTTGCACGACATTCATGCTGAAGGAATGTCTCTGAGCGAGTCATTCCAAGTTGAGGCTGTGATCGAGAAACTGCCGCCGGGTTGGAAAGATTTCAAGAACTACCTCAAGCACAAAAGGAAGGAGATGAGTCTTGAAGATTTGGTTGTTCGTCTTCGGATTGAAGAGGACAATCGTAAGTCTTCGAGGAAGGCCCCGATGATGGAAGCTCGTGCCAACTTGCTGGAGCAAGGCAACTCGAGCAAAAGGAAGCCCCCTAACAAAGGGAAGCAGCAGCCTGCCAAAGTGTGGAAATTTACTGGAAATTGCCACAACTGTGGAAAGCCGAACCATATGGCTAAGGACTGCAGGAAGCCTAAAAAGGTTGGTCTAAAGAAGGCACAACATGGTGCCCTCATTGCTGAACACGGCCCTGTGCCGAGTGAACTAACCGACATGGATATGTCGGCTGTGGTGTTTGAAGCCAATTTGGTGGATAACCCAAGGGCGTGGTACATTGATACTGGTGCCACTCGCCACGTGTGTTCCGACAAGGGGTTGTTTTCTGAATACACTCCTTCAAATGGTCGGAAGCTCCACATGGGCAACTCCTCCTCGTCTGATGTGGCTGGAGTTGGCATCGTGGTGCTGAAGCTGACTTCTGTAAAGGAGTTAAAGCTTAATGATGTGCTGCATGTCCCAGACATCCGCAAGAATTTGGTCTCCGGATCTCTTCTTGTAGAGCATGGTTTTAAGTTAGTGTTTGAAGCTAAGAAGTTTATTCTTAGCAAGTATGGTAAATTCCTTGGTCGTGGCTATCTCGACAATGGTTTATTTAAAATGAATGTAATGGCTGTGAGCCGTGTAACCGTTTCCAATGATAATGAAAATTGTACTTCTGTTTATATCGTGGAGTGTTCTGATTTATGGCATATTAGATTAGGACATGTGAATCTAAATACAATTAAACGGTTGATGAACTTAGAATTAATTTCTAATTCTAAAATTGAATCACACAAAAAATGTGAAATTTGTGTTAAAGCCAAAATGGCTAAATTACCTTTTCACTCGGTGGAAAGAAATACTAAACCGTTAGGTTTAATCCATACTGATGTATGTGACTTGAAGTTTGTGCAAACAAGAACGGGTAAAAGATATTTTATAACTTTTATTGATGATTGCACAAGATTTTGCTACTTATATCTT